CTTCAAAGTGTCAACTTGATGAATTAAGGGAAGTTCAAACAGCTGGTAAAGCATTATTTCTGGGTATGTGTGAGGGTGTCTCCAGAAGAGACTGGCATTTGAATCAGTGGGTTAAGTTAAGGATGATCGAAACTCACCCAATGTGGGCAGGCACCATCCAACTGGCAATGAGGGCCCAGATAGAACAAAAAGACAGAAGCAAGCCCTTGAAAAGTGGATTTGCTTGTTCTCTCTCCTGGGGGTGGAACACCCATCTTCTCCTGTCCTTGTACATCAGAAATCAAGGTTCACTGGCCTTCAGACTCCAGGATTTGCACCAGTGGGCTAATAAGTTCTTAGGCCTTTAGTCCCAAACTGAGAGTTATACCAATAGGCTCCCTAGTTCTCAAGCCTTCAGGGTTGGACTGAGCCATGCTACCAGCTACCCTGATTCTCCAGCTTGCTAACAACATTTCATGGGACTTCTCAGCCTCCATATTCGTATGTTAAATCCCTTCTCATGTATCTTTATCTATATCGATATCCTATTGGTCTATTTCTTTGGAGAACCCTAATACAGAGGGCTTAATAGAAACTATTATGAATGCAGGAATATCACAGGGATAATGGGACAGGTAAGGGAGGGGTTCCTGGAATCCAGGAGATAACTGGACAGAGGCCTTTAGCTGAGGGACACAGGCAGCCCAAAATGACTCTAAAAGGAGGAAGGAAGCCAGAAGAATAAATCTCTGAGCTTATATTCCCCCCTCTGTCCAAGTTCCTAGTGAAGCTCTGCACTGGCCAAACCTAGCCAAGGGTCAGAGAGCTGGGGAGCAGGTGGCTGGGTCCATCTGGGCAGCCCACTGGGGCTCAGTGGAAAGTGAATCTGCAGGGGCAAAATACCACCTCACACAGTGTAGAGACCTCTGGGTCCAAACCCTATCATCTTTTTCACTATAACTGTTAAAAAGTTGGGAGGAAGGGAAAAATTAAGGTCAGAGATTTTATATTCTTTTCCTTTTCCTGGCAGTATCTTCACTACTACTAGTTAAGTTTTTCCTATACAATAACAAGGGCCATGGTGTCTAGAAGTTGACAGAGACCAGGATAAAAGCAAATTCTATATTCAAGAATAACAACCTACCTCAACTTCAGGAGTTCTGGCCAGAGACAGAGCCTGGTTGGTGAAAACGAAGAGATTTATCTTTGAGTAGCCTTGTTCAAGGGTCCAGCAAGGTCTCCTGTGCCTAGCATGCTGCCATGTGCTATTGATCCAAGTACGGACAACAGCCCTTTCTGCCACTACAGGGAACGTGGTGAAAAGGTTATAAGAAACTGAACAAGATTTGCTGGGTCAGATGCTAATCCTAGTTTATGATGCCACTGAAAATCACGGTGAGGGTTACTCAACAGTCTATTACTAAATCAATGAACCAAGATAGAATCTTGCCATTGTCCAGTCTATTACATAGACATAGGTAACACAGGCCAGGTGTGGGGTTCAACTCCTGCTACTGTCACCTAGTATGCCATTTGAATCAAGTCAACTGGAAACCTCAATTTCTTCACCTATAAAATAATGTGAGTAATAAGAGTACATTTCTCCTGGAGTGATACTCATGGAAAATGAAACAGGAAAATAGGTGTCTAATATCTGCCACTGTCCATATTTGTCCACCTGACCCTCAACAGACAGGGGCTGTTGATCCACATCTACCAGATGCCAGGTTCTCTGCTGAGTAGTTTGCCCTAAGGGATAGTTTACACAAGCTTAGTATACCGCTTCTGCCTTCCCTAAGACTAACAATTTCCAAGCCTGAGATTTAACCCAAATTTCTTTCAATATATATAGGAAAGAGTCCTAAGCATGCTGAAGTGCCCCGTCCACATCCCCCTAACTGGGATTGTCAGAGTGGAAAGGGTTGCAAAATCCAGTCTTCTCACATCCATCAATCTTTTGGAGGCAATTTTCTAATGGAAGTGGCTTGATGACAACACTACTTTGAATACATCTTTACTCCAAGTAACAACTTCCTTTCTACTTAGAAATTCAAGGACCACTGACATAGGACTCAAATGTATTGAAAATGTTCTCAACTGTTTCTAAGAGCTTTCTCTATCAATTAATGTATAGCTCCACAGTGAACAAAAAGCAGTTCCCCATATTCAGGGGGAAAAAAGTCATAGGTCAAAAAAAGGTTCACTTTTAAGTGCTTATTCACCAAAGACTGAAATCAAGTATTTTGAAGAAAAATGGCTGGGTGCAACTCACGTCTGTAACCCCAGTTCCCAGCTCTTTGGGAGGGCAAGGTAGGAGGATCACTTGAGATCAGGAATTCAACATGATCAGCCTTGGCAACATAGGGAGACCTTATCTCTTAAAAAAAAAAAAAAATAGCTAGGTGTGGTGGCACACAATAGTAGCCCCGACTACTGGGGAGGCCTAAGTGGAAGGATCACTGGAGCCTAGTAGTTCGAGGTTGCAGAGAGCTGCGATCATGCCACTGTACTCCAGCCTGGGTGCAGAGTAAGAACCTGACTCTAAAAATAAAAGGAAAGTTGTAAAAAGCCAGGAGGCTTCTGAAATTATTTTTCCATTAATAATATAAAGAATTAGTCTTCAAACCAGGCATGGTGGCTCATGCCTATAATCCCAGCACTTTGGGAGGTGGAAGTGAGAGGACTGCCTGAGTCCATGTATTCGAGACCAGCCTGGGCAACATGGTGAGACCTCGTCTCTACGATAAATCAAAATATTAGCCGGGCTTGGTGGTATGCACCTGTAGTTCCAGCTACTTGGAAGGCTAAGGCAGAATGATCGCCTGAGCCCAGCAGGTCGAGGCTGCAGGGGCCATAAGCATGCCACTGCGCTCCAGCCTGGGTGACAGAGTGAGACTCTGACTCAAAAAAATTTTTTTAAAAAAAGTATCTTCAAACCTGAATATCTGGAGATGTTTTTGATCCTGGATTGATAGCTGAAATTCTTCAGATAACTGCTACATACCTTCCCATTATCTTTTTATGTCTTTTGTATCACGTATGTGTGACTAAATGAAAGCATTCTTTCTCCTTCACTTTCCAGAGCCAACAGTAAAATAGAGGCTACAGAGCTCACACCTCAAAAACAATTATTGAAAATGGCTCACGGCTGAGCATGACTGGGCCATGGTCTGAATCTGGGAAGCTTAGCTGTGGGAGAGAAGGATACTGAGAACCAAGTGATCATATTCATGTTAAAATGGAGTAAAGTACCAATGCTTTTCTTTAAGATTATTACAAGTACTCAAGGGATGTAGCTGACACCAAAGGTCGATTTAAAGATGTACTGAAGGAAGCCAACAATACATCCTTATTTAGATGCTACACGCTGGATTTCAATTACACCCTGCCCTCAGCCCCCCACCCTTCAACAGTCACAATCCTATTATTCTTTATCCTTCACAACCAAGTTGCTCAAAGGTTGTCGACAATACCGTTCTCCACTCCTCACTCAACCAGCCTCTGCCCTCTCCGTCCCTGTCAACATCGCTAATGACTTTCGTATTACCAAATCTTCAGAAATGTCAAGGTTGTAAAAGTCAAGGAAAAAGTGAGGAACTGTCAAGACTGAAGGAGACATAATCAAATGAGACACATGATCCTGGGTTGGAAGCTTTTGCTAAAAGAACTGACAAAATCTGAATGAAGTCTCTAGGTGGAGGGGTATAGGGAAATTTTCCATACCATTCTTAAATAACAACTACGTATTTAGAAAACAAAGCCAGAAAAGGAGCTATTAAAAGACCTGTGCTTGCCAGGCATGGAGGTGCATGCATGTAGTTCCAGCTACTCAGGAGATTGAAGGAGGAGGATCACTTGAGCCCCAAAGTTCAAGGCGGCAATGCCACTGCACCCCTGCTTGACAACACAGCAAGACTCCATCTCTAAAAAATTCTTAAAAATACTCAGATTTAGGATTAGTTTAGGGAGCGAAACTACAACTTCACATCATTTTGGAGATACATAGACAATCTTAGCAGAGTTCTGGGCTTGGTATGGTTTTTTTGTTACCAGTGGAGATTATCGCATCCAACTGTTGAAATTCATTTTGATTTTTTTTCTCTAGAAGAGTTAGAGAAAGTGGCATAAACCATCTCCTAACTACAAGTAAGTTTTCCAGCAGTAGGATAAACCATTAAACTCTCTTTCAAGAACCTGAAAGTGAAATATGAGAAGCCTTTCACTTTGGTATAATATGTCACTATTAATCCAGGACTAAAATGGCTACAAAAGCAAGTTTGGGAAGGTCAGTACTCTGTAAGGAACTTGTATGAAGCAAGTAGGGAATGCTTTTTTACTAAGATGGACCTAACTCTTGGATGAACTTCTGTGTAGTAAATAATTCCATATAACTTTTTAAATGTTTATGCTTTGCAAACCCCTATTCTATCCCAACTCCCTTTGAGCCATACTACAAAACTGTCAAGTCAGTGATTAATTGACAAACTCCAAATACTCTTTTTTTCTTCTGACCGGACTGAGTAATCATGTTTTACTAAACACAAATTTACAATTAAGTGGACTACAAGTAGTTTTCCATGGATCTTTCTATTCCTAAACATAAACTGAAATGACCTCAATATATCACTAAGCAAAAATACGTATCAAGAAAGGCAAACTAGAGACTTTATAAATGAAAACATAAGTTTGAAATATGCAAAGGAGTCCAAGTTTGAAATATGCAAAGGAGTCCATTACACAGTTACATTTACCCAGGAACCATAAGACTGCAAAGCACTTAATGGGAAGAAGGAAAACAGGAGGCTGTGTACACTTTGGTGTCTGCATCCTTCCATTTGATCAGGTAGATGAAAAAGACAGGCCCACGCCACTCAGCCCCAGAAATCTTCAGAAGATTTAAATCTCAGGCTAATCCACACTCCGAAGCATTCATACAGACAGTCTATTGGTTAATAAAATCCACTCAACAGATAAACTGTCCATTCATCTATAGGTTTGTGAAACTGGGATAACACAAAGGGCACATTTCTTATTTTTATTTCAACATTTAAAATATTCACAGATGAAGTATTATAATCAGACATCTCCAAGGAAGATGTACCAAACAAAGCATACAGGCATTCCACAATTACAGAATTACATATTTGTGACTATGTGAATGTTTACCCTAGAGTTTACCTGGAAAAACACCATTTTAAAAAAAAAACAACAAACTTTTGAGTGTTTCACTGGATTAATTTCCATAAAAAGTGAATTGGAAAGAATTTCAGAAGAGATATCTAAATATTAGTCAGCACTTTTTAAAAATTGCAGACTTTTATAGTACTCTCCTATCATACCTGTCAGGAATACATATACTCAACTCTTTCTCTTTTCCCCTCAATAGCCAAGCCAGGATATACTTCCTTTTGTTCTTTCGTTCCCCCAAGTCCTTGTTTCTAAACACATTATGTGGAATAGATTGATCATCAAACATCTTGACTAGCTAATGAGGTAGGAACATTCTTCAAAATAAGTTCTTAGGTATTGATAAAGCACAGCAAAATAGAGTAATCAAATTATAAAAAGTTGTTTTTTAGTAGTTGTTCTTTAAATAAAATGTTAGTTAAATGTTACTAATACTTCAAAAGCAAAGAAGAAAAATCCATTAGAAAGCCCCGATACAGAGTCTATTAAAGGACAAAACCTGAGTACTGGCATTAATTAAATTCATTTTGGCATTACAAGGTAAATATCTATCTCTCAAAATGCCAAGTTTTCTGCCTGGGAAAAATCATGCTAAGGAGATAAAATTAAGACAGAAAATAAAAGTACTCTATCCTTTCTTTTCAGTACAAGTTAATGTGTTTCTTCTTTTAACCCAGTTCTCATCCTTTGCTATACATACACAAATGATAATTTCAGTATACAGCATATCCAGTAACACATTTAGTTGAATTTAGCAGTCAACTTAGCAACTGTGCCAGAGAAACACTCCTTATAGGAAAGCTTTATTAACATAGTGCTAAACAGCTAGAAAATGCCTAGGTAATAGATTTCAGCACCATCTCTATGTTAGCAGATTGTTTCAAAATGCATACACTCCCTAAATTCACATAAACCTAGAAAATTTACTCATCATTCCCTCTTCACCTTCACCAAAATCAAGTTCTGTATTCTAACTACCCTTTCTGTGTGCCAAAAATAATACTTTACAAATCTATCCAATTAAGTTAATAGGACACAAACATTTGCTTCAGAATAAAGGATGCAAGTTATCAAACAAGCATGATGTGTTAAAATATGCATCTATTCTGGTTTGGAGGGCTGGAAAAAATAAAATAAAATACATTATTTTGAACACTAGTACCTATTATTTGATAAAGGCTAAAACTACAAGAGAGATTCATTTTTACCAATTTGCACATCTTAAGGTTACTGCTAAATATACTAATAAAGACACCTAAAAAAATGAAAAGAAAAAAAAAATACAACAGAAAAGCTGCCAGAAAAAAAAAAAATCGATAACCATGTGGCCTGGCAGATTATTATGAAATTAAGTCCTTGACAATTCTACTATAAAATGTTTTAGATTATAGGAATCAAACTTGGTAGCAAAATAGTGCAAAACTTTGATATGGCCCAGCCCTTAATGGCAGTAACCATCTGAGATTTGCTACCAAAAATAATTTGTCAATAAGAATTTTTTACATGTCTTTATATCTTTCTTTTTACTATTCTATCTAGAAATGTGTCCTACTGATGTTCTAAAAATCTCAAACAATCATGGGTATATCATTTAGTTAGAAGAGAATTCTTTCCTCTTCCTTCTTGAATGTCAGGTATAGCTCCTTTCACAAACATTCTTTTCCTAAGGCACACCATGCCCTATTTATTGCTACAAAGCCCCTGAAATCTGTGCCTCGATCTGTCTGTATCACCATTATGGTTAAATGCAAACCATTACGAGTGTCTGCGAAAACTCAGTAACATTAAGTCTAGAATGCCATTCTCCAGTAGACCAACTGCAAAATAACCAAGTCTACTGAAGTAAAGGCCAAAAAACCCAAGTATATGCTCAATATGTTCTTTCCCCTACAAACTAACCAAATTGCCTACTATGACCGTAAAGCTCAATGACATTTCTGGCTACCCATAATTCATACTCATTGCTATAAATAAAATGTAAGACCAGTAAGCTTTCACAATTTTTATTAATCCTAGTCTAGTTTAACAATATCTGATTTAATAGACATCATCCCATGGTAAACATATTTGATAACTGAAAGCAAATCAGACATCTCATCTAAGTCATTATTTTCTGTAGACTAAGCAATAAGATAATAACTACACAGAACACTATGGTAATGGCATACACTTGCTCAGTTTTCATATAAGCCATGTTGCTTATCAAACTATCTGCTAATATTTAATACAGTAAATCTAGTGATTGTAGTTCTCACATTTTTAAGTACCTTATTGAAATAACATTTTGACAGTTTCACTGACTTTCCAAATTAGCATAATATATTCAAGGAAAAGAGTAGAATGAAATGAACACTGAACATGAAGAAGAGATCAAGTTATTAAAGGAAAAAAAGGTAAGAGAGTGAAATATCATTGGGATGAAAAAATCAAACAAGTCTAGACATTGTTTGGCTGGAAAAGAACAGATCGAGTATGGATTTCACAAACCAAAAGTTCATAAACTCAATGCAATACAAATCCTTTTTATTGTAAAAGCTGAGTTGAAACTAAAAGGTCTAAAAAACTGTTACTTTTGGCCTTAAACAGTATTAACTCTTAAGATCAAAAAAGGCCACAACAGTTAGGATTGTGTTACTTGATTTTATTTTACACTAGGTGGTGGGCACAAAGCAAACTTCCTTAATAAAGTTGACAATTAGTTTCACTCAGAACATTTTTAATAAAGCACATTTAAAAAAAAGTATTCATCTTACAAATTGTTCTGCAATCCAAACATACAATAGCTTGGAGAACAATGTTTAGAAAACAAAAGCCAATGTAAAAAGACAGAATAAAACAAGAACAGTACAGATTCAATATGGCTCGGATTTTACAGTTTTCTTACTGCATCATCAATGTCAGAAATCTGTTCCTTCAGTTGGCTCCACTGCTCCGGATTTAAAGAAATACCTAAAACAAAGTTTAAAAATTCAAAAGTAAAAGTCTATTAAGATTTCTTGAGAATTTTCATACACACTTCCAATTAGAATATTTTATCAAATTTGAATGGAACAATGCTACAGTAGAGAGTATATATTTTGGAGGGCCGACCTCTTGTAGTATACTCGGAATTTGATCCTCCGGGTCAGTCAAGCAAAGTTTTTTATCTGGAAGTTTTGAGAAAGTCGCATCATGATTTATGGAAGAAACACCCTGAGTTGAGACAAACAAGTGACTGGTTCTTCCACCATGACAATGCACCTGCCCACAGCACGCTGAGTATTTAGCAGTTTTTAACCAAAAATGGCACGACCCCATGCCTCAGCCTCCCTATTCACCTGATTTCACCCCAAGTGACTGTTTCTCGGATGAAAAAAGTCCTCAAGGGGAAACATTTTGCTGATATGGAAGAGGCAAAACAAAAAACAGCAGAAGCACCAAAAGGCATCAAAACCGGCAAGTTCAAAAACTGTTCTGAGCAGAGAAAAAAGCAAATTGATAGGTGTATTGCATCAAACTGAGAATACTTTAAGGTGACTGAAGTTTAAACATGTAAGAATAGACAATTTTTTATAAATAAATTCCAGGTTTTTGAGGGGTCCCTCATTAAACAAATACCCACAAACAAGCATGCTAGGTGGCCGGACTCAAATTTGGCATGTGATACCCCGTTATCACATCTAATTGGTTCCAACATTTGCACCCAAAATTTTCACAGGAACTCAAGCTGCATAACTTTGCTGAGTTCTTCCGTTAAGTATTCATTTCATTTTGGAAAAATAACCTGAGATGTGATTCATAGAAGACTTCTTAGAATGTATATGTTAGGAAAGTGTGTACTTTAGAGCCATCCTGCCAGGACTCAAATTCCAGACTAACCCTAACTGCAATGATGTTTAAAAAAGTGTACTACCTTCTGAACCTCAGTTTCCTCACTAGTAAAATGGTACCTACATCCCAAAGGGTTGTTGTAAATAATTAGGTAAACTGAATAAAGAAATTAGTATATAAGTAAATCCTTGTAAAATGTTTTTAAATGTTTCAGATGATGACGTCCATCTTTCCTACTTAAGACATCAAAGTACAACAGAAATTTTAACTTTTCTGTATTTGTACTTTAAACTTCCAGCACTCTAATGCTGACACATATAAGCAGAGAAATAAACCAGAACTGAAGAATCAATATACTTCTCAGAAAACTGCTGCAAGGTCATGAAATTGAAAAGGAGAATAATCTGGGACAACATGTAGAAAGGTTTTAAAAGCTAATCAAATTGTCTCAGTAAATGTTTGCAGGAAATGAAAATGTGGTACAGTGACCAGAAGTGACTTGAAGAAGAAAACATATAGACGTTAAGTTTAATTTAAAAATTGCATGAAGCAAACAAGTGGTACCTTTCAAACTAACAAGTAGGCAGAGTACAACTAAATAAAGGAGGCATTTTTCATTAGCTAAGGATCAACCTAGAGAGCAATCCAAATATACAAATTTAGGTTGGTTTACAAATGTTCTCTAGCTATTTATAAGGTATGCTTCCATGATGCTAATGGGCTTGATACTAGATGAAGCACAAATGCAACAAGGACAGAAACCCATTTGAAAAGCATTCCCCTAAGGAATAGTCTTTAGGAGCTGAATCAAAAGGAAACACTGGCCGGGCTCGGTGGCTCAGTCTGTAATCCCGCGCCTTGGGAGGCTGAGGTGAGTTGAATTGCCTGAGCCCGCGGGTTCAAGACCCATCTGGGCAACTTGGCGAGACCACATCTCTACAATAAATCAAAAAATTAGCCAGGTGTGGTAGCATGCACCTGTAGTTCCAGCTACTTGGAAGGCTGAGGTGGAAGGATGGCCGGAGCCCAGCAGGTGGAGGCTGCAGTGGCCAGGAGTGACCACTGCACCCCAGTCTGGGCGACAGAGTGAGACTCCAACTCAAAAAAAAAAAAAGGAAACACTGTAAACCAGGATATTCCATTCCTGATTTTACACCTTCCCAAATAGTGCCTAATCTGCTTCACAACTGCTGTAAATTTTTTAAAGTATTCAAATAAACTTGTAGTCAATTTAAAGTGATATTAGAAGTGCTATTTTTCTGGATTTTAATCCCAAAAGCTGTATTTAAGACATCTCGTTTTTAAAAGGTTAAGTATATGCATAAAATGACTGCAGAAAATAGAGAATAAACCTGAACACGCTGCCCTATGTGCCAATATTTCATGTTAAGCTAAGTTACTTAGAAATGCTTTGATTTACTCCCAACATGAAAACCAAATTCAAGAAATTATATCGCAAGCCAGGCTCGGTGGCTCAACCTGTAATCCCGCACCTTTGGGAGGCTGAGGTGAGTGGGTTGCCTGAGCCCGCGGGTTCGAGACCCACCTGGGCAGCGAGACCTCATCTCTACAATAAATCAAAAAATCAGTCAGGCATAGTAGTGCATGCCTGTAATTCCAGCTACTTGGAAGGCTGAGGCGGAAGGATCGCTGGAGCCCAGCAGGTCGAGGCTGCGGTGGCCGGGAGCGGCCACTGCACTCCAGTCTGGGCGACAGAGTGAGACTCCAACTCAAAAAAAAATAAATAAATAAAGATATTATATCTCACCTTTTCTTCCTGGCTTCATTTCACCTTCTGGGTCCATCCAATATTCTCTAATATCAATTAGAACTTTCCCTTTAAAGTCCCGAACACTAACGTACCGCATTTTCCCAATCTGCAAAAGAAACAAAAACATAAACAGAGATGTTTTTCTCAACAGCAGTGTGTTTCAATCGTATTCATATTTACAATTTGCTGCTTGCTCAATCAACTTCTAACCACGAAAATGACTACAGTTGACCCTTGATCAACATGGGTTTAAACTGTACAGATCCACTTACACCCAGATTTTTTCCAATAAACATATTGGAAAATCTGTTGGGAACTTGCACAATTTGAAAAAACTCACAAACTGCACAGCCTGTGTCAAAAACATTAAGAAAAAGTTAGGTATGTCATGAATTCAAAAATGCATACAGTATGAGATACTAGCCTATTTTATCATTTACTACTACAAAGTATAAATAAACCTATTATAAAAAGTTAAAATTTAACAAAACTTATGTGTACATACAGGCTGTAGAAATGTAAACAAAAAGATGCATTAAATCATAACTGCATAAAATCAACTAGTACATATTGTACTCCTGTAATAATTTCACAACCACCTCCTGTTGCTATTGTGGTGTGCTCAAATCTGTGTAAAACACCATGTGATGGTAATGATCTCCAGCAAATTGTGTGATCTCTCACAGTTCTCACATAGTCACTGTGTTTCATGCAATACCATACACCTTACATAATAACAGGTGAGCCATACGACGTACCAGTTGGGATGCTAGAAATGCACCAAAGAAGCAGAGAAAGCCAGACATGGTGGATCATACCTGTAACCCCAGCACTTTGGGAGTCCAAGGCAGGAGGACTGCTTGAGCCAGGGAGTTCAAGACCAGCCTAACCAACATAGGTAGACCTCATGTCTACAAAAAAATTTAAAAGTAAAAAAAAGTAGCTAAATGTGATGCTGCACACCTATAGTCCAGTTACTCAGGAGGCTGAGGTGAAAGGACCGTCTGAGCTCAGGAGGTCAAGGGTGCAGAAAGCCGAGATCATGCCACTGCACTCCAGCTTGGGCAACAGTGAGCCCTTGACTCAGGGGGAAAAAAAAACAACAGAGAGAGGTCATGACATTACAAGAAAAAACTGCCAACCTATCATCCCAGCTACTCAGCAGGTTGAGGCACCATGATCACGTGAACCCAGGGGTTTGAATCCAGCTTGGGCAACATAGCCAGATCTCGTCTCCAATTTTTAAAAGTTAAAAAAAAAAAAGAGTTGAACCACTCGATATGTACCATAGATTGAGCTCTACGGTGGTGTTGCTCACTGTTTTCAGATAGACATTCATTTTATAAACAGAAAACCACATACACTGATGGTATAGATACAGTACTGTAAATGTATTTTCTCTTCTTTGTCTTAGTAACATTTTTTCTCTAGTTTACTTTATTGTAAAAATACAGTATATAATACATACAACATACCAAGTATGTGTTAATCAACTGCTTATGTTATTGATAAGGCTTCCAGCCAAAAACAGGCTACTCACTCATAGTTAAAGTTTTAGGGGAATCAAAAGTTATAAGCAGATTTTAAACTGTGAGGGGGCTAGTGCCCCTAGCCCCTGCAATACTCAAGGGTCAACTATATAATTCTCAATATCAAAACTACAACCAAAGAAAATCAGTTTTAAAATATTCTTTCTAAAAAGATAGAATTAAACAAAGCACACTTCACACTGCCAATCATTTTCACTTGCATAAACATTAGTAAAATAGTGCAACTGCTATGGAAAACAGTAAGAAGGTCCCTCAAAAAAATTAAATACATCTACTACACAATCCAGCAATGCCACTTCTGTGTATATATTCAAAATAATTGGAAGCAGGGTCTTGAAAAGGTATCTGCACACCCATATTAGAGGCAGCGTTACTCACAACAGTCAAAAAGTGGAAGAAAGCCAAATGCCCATCCAGAAATGAATGAATAAACAAAATGTGGGGTGGTTGGGTGTGTATTCACACACATACACACATATAATGGAATATTAACACATTCATGACCAGCAAATTTTTCACTTTCCTAATACTGAGAGCGGGTGAAAATTTTAAAAATCTGAAGCTGATTGCCACAAATTTCTGTCGTTAAGCACAAGTGAAATGATCTTTTTCTAAACTGTCACCTTTTTCACAATACAACTGAAAGTTGCAGACATATCCAGTATTTGCCTCACATACCAATCTGACTAGCATTCTGTACTTTGTATTTTTATTTGGATTATAAAGCTGAAAAGACAGTCAATGAGGTAAATTCAAGTCAGTATACCAGCGGCAACCAGGAACAGAACTTGGAATGATGTAAATTCACATCAGCAGTCGTAAATAAATTAATTAGCCTTAAAATAAGAAGAAAATCCTGTCGCATACTATAACATGGATCAATCTTGAGTACATTATGCTAAGTGAAATAAGTCAGTCACAAAAACATAAATACTGTATGACTCCACTTACATAAGGTCAAGTCCACAGGAAAAAAAAAACTGGAATGGTAGTTAGCTGGGGCTATGGGAAAGTAGAATTGTTTAACAACTAGAGCTTCACTTTTGAAAGATGAAAAAGTTCTGGAGATCTGGTTTGCAACACTGTAAATATACTTTTATAGTTTTTACCACAATTACAAAAAAATCATTAGGAAGCAAAATCTTGCAGTACAAACTCCAACCAATAGGAATCCACAGATCTAGCTAGCTACGCAGTCTCAGCAACCATTCTGAATATAGGAATCCAGAGTTCCAGTAACACAAGATTTTCCTTTTGATGTCCATTTCAAGTAACACCTTTAATGCACCCCACTGTCAAATAAGAGAACTTAAAATTCTTCACAGAAAATTATTTTTTAAAAACTCTATAACTTTGCTGAACACAAATTCCAGGGAAAGAAACAGGCTTTCCTCGATAAAGTGTCTAACACTTTTCAAGATTCACTGTAAAACATAGTAAAGAAGATAATGTCTACTGGAGTAGCCATATATAGGCCAATGGAACAAATGAAGTGCAGAAATAGACACAAATTTTATACATTTGCTTTTCCTTACAAGAAATCCAAGGTTATTTCAAAGAAACAGTCTTTTCAACAAACGTGTTGAAATAATTGGATATCTGCACAGAAGGGTGGGGAAGAATCTCAATTCCTAGCTCACACCATACATTGAGAGATTAATTCTCCACAGATCGTAGACCTAAGCATGAACACTAAAACTTCTACAAAAAAAAAACACTGGCAAAAATTTTTGTGGCCATGGGGTAGACAAAATATCTTGGATAGGAACCAAAAAAAAAAGAGAAAAACCGATAAAATGGACGTAATCAAAATAAAGCCTTTTAAAAAAGATGCTTCAGAAAATAAAAAGGAAAACTACAAATCTAAATAAAATATTCACTCAAGTTGCAGCCGCAGAGGCCTTAGCCTTCCAGAAGAACCTGAGGAATAAGCAAATCGTAGACAACTGAGAAATCTATAATAACCTCATCTCCAAGATGGAGATCTGATGTGGAGGCCACTGATCAATAGCTTGGCCTTCCCTCCTGTTTAAGTCTGTCACTTAGGTTTCATGTTCTTTCTTCTCTCTTAACTTCAACTTTTTAAACTAGATTGCTTTGAGAAGAAAACTAAATAAGGTTCCCTCAAAGTTTTTTTTAAAAAAAGAAAATACTATACTTATAATATTTGACAAAAGATTTACATCAAAAATATATAGTCTTACTTTCAACTAAATAAAGCAAACATAGCTTTTTTTTAAAAATGGCCAACAGACATGCTTTTCACAAAAGATATAAAAATAGCCAATAGACACAAGACATACAATGAATTAAGATATTTGTGAACACAAAGTAAATCCACCATCCATTAAATAAAATGGATAAAACTTTAAAGACTGACAGTATCTAGTAAGGATGTGGAGCAACTAGAATGTCATCTGTTGCATCAATGGGTGTGTATAATGGTACCGTTAGTTTGGAAAACAGTTTCTTGTACAGTTAAATACACACTTATCCTATGACTTAGCAAATATATCTAGTATTTACACAAAAGGGAGAATACGTCCTGTAAAAAATCTTGGACAAGAATATTTATATATTTATATAGGCTTTATTCCTAATAGCCCAGAACTAGAAACAATTCCAATATCCATCAACAAAGGTGAATGGAGAAACAAACTGTAGCATAATAATACAAAGGAATACTACACAGCAGCTGGATGCAGTGGCTCCACCTGTAATCCCAGCACTCTGGGAGGCTGAGACAGGACTGCCTGAGCCAAGGAGTTCAAGAACAGCCTGGGCAACATAGAAAGACCACATCTCTACAAAAAGAAAAAACAAAATATGTATGTATCAAAAAATTAGCTGGGCATGGTAGCACATGCCTGTGGTCCCAGCTACTCCAGAGGCTAAGGCAAAAGGATCGCCTGAGCCCAGCAGATCGAGGCTATGGTAGCTATGATCATGCCACTGCACTTGATCCTAGCACTCTGCCTCTGTAGGCTATCAACAGTTCAAAAAATACATGTTTGCTAGCCTCATGTTCTAGTCAAATAAATGTTTCCAGTCTCATTCTGTCCAACTTTTTGGCTTCTACTAATTCTTGTGCCTCCTGGAAACATTCATCCTTTTCTTGTTCTGAATACTATACTCTTCTTCTTCTTCTTCTTCTTCTTCTTCTTCTTCTTCTTTTAAATCAGGATTTATTGAAAGGACAGAAAAACTCCCACAGTGGGAGGGGACCCAAGGGGGTTGCCCTATACTCTTCTAAATTTCCTTCGTCTCTTGATCTACATACTCTTTTTCCTTCCATCCCATATCTGAATCTCACCTAAGACACATCCTCATCTGTCTCCACCTCTTCCTCTGGTTTACACTTTAGCGGATGGCTTCAGTCAACCATGATGACAATCCCACAGGAACATTTCCCAAACAAGCCCTCCAGATGCTACAGGAAAGACCCCACTTATTTTAACACATTTACAATCAGGTTCATGTCTTCAGTGATTACTTAATTCCTCTGGTTCACTCTTCCTCACCAGTAGAGGAAGTCCCCAATTTGCAAACGAGTTCCGTCCCAAGAGCATGTTTGCAAGTTCAATTTGTTTTAAGTCCAACAAAGTTAGCCTAGGTACCCAACTAACACAATCGACTATGTAGTACTGTATGTATTTAACAGGGCTATACTGACACCTGGTGGAGAAAAATAATACATTAAAAAGCTGCAGACATGCATTAAGTTTACAAATTGAAGGTTCATATGTAGGGGACTTACTGCACTTTTACAAAAAACCATCTAAGCCCTTATCACCCCAAATATCAATTAAAGCCGACAACTACCTAAGCAATCTCACCCGCATCCATTGATCCCAATACCTCTACCCGAACAAACCCTTGTACAACAATGCCAATATCATGTCTCCCAACAACATGATAAGAAACCCAAGAAAAGATACTATACTAGTCCAGGTGATTTCATCAGGTCCCTCTAATGAACTTCCCTCACTTTACCTAGTCAACCCACTCCTCTTCTCTGTTTCTCATCAGGCCAGAATTAGGCAGGTCATATTGCTGCTCTCTTTCCAATAATAAGCTATCCATACCTCATTGCCCAATACTTGACCTGCCTCCTCCAAGTTGCTTTCTTAATGTGTAGTTCTCAGTCTCTTTTTGGATTTCTGTAACAGTTAAATATGCATTGTTCTAAATATGGCAAAACGAGACTCTAGAGACTTTAACAATAATCCAGCATTGTACAAATTACTTTTACTTCTACCAATTTTTTTTTTTCTTTTGAGTTGGAGTCTCACTCTGTCACCCGGGCTGGAGTGCAATGGCACACTCACAGTCACCCCAGCATCAAACTGCTGGGCCCCAGCGATCCCTTTGCCTCAGCCTTCCAAGGGGCCGGAAGTACAGGCACACGCTACCACACCTTACTAGTTTTGATTTATTATAGAGACAAGGTCTCGCCAAGTTGCCTGGGCTGGTCTCGAACCCGAAAACTCAGGCAATCCACTTGCCTCAGCCTCCCAAAGTGCTGGAATTACACACTTGAGCCACCACTTACAGCCAGGAAATAACCAGTTTTACCTGAAACATGTTGTCATCTCTGCTGCTGCTGCTCTGTTTGGAAGATGACAGAGCTCTGGAAGTTTCACCAGTCTTTTGCTTCTTTACAGGTTTTTCTGGAGCAACTTGCTTTTTCCTCTTTAACTTAAAAGGAAAACCAAGAATATGGTTAAAATTTGCACACTAAGAATAAAACACATCAAATTATTCCATTACTTTTTAAAACAACTAAAAGACATTAAGAAAAAAATGGTAAGTATATACATAAGCAAACCTCACTTAACAACAGAACTATTGACTCTAACCTACCCTTATTTACCTTACATCTAACAGTGTTTCCAAACTATGTTCCCGGAATCCCAAAAGATATTTCAGGGATTAGAATGGTATTAACTAGAGGAACAGTCATTCTGTGGTTTGGGATCCCACAAAAAATTTCTCTGAGAGGAAAAAAAAAAGATGGAGAGACCTGCTGCCTCTGAAAAAACTTGGAAGTCATCAGTCTACTAAGTTAGTCAGTTACTTATTTTTTTACAAAGTAGATATACTGATTAAGAAGAATACACAACAGTATTTTTAAAACAGCATTATTGTTTAAAAAAACCTTTTTATGTAGTCTCATTCTCAAAAAGAGATAACAGCTAGAAAACCACTAGAATTCTCAACCCAAACAGTAGAGGGCAGTCATGTTCTTTCTTGGCGGAATAGTATAAACTAGTATTTTAGTATTATTAAATTAATTTAATGTACCTGATTAGGTCAAGCTAGGAAAACTATACACATGTAAAACACGAAATGAAAAACATGGATGTATATAAAGTGTTTAGAAGATTAATATTACTATTTGTATCAAACACAAAAAAATTAAATTAGTTCAATAAGCAGAAAGCAATTATTCTTTAAATCAGAATCTAAGCATCCCCTGTGGACTAGTGCATGTCTGCATATAAAAGTTCAATACACATTTGTCACATGAACATGATGGAGTGTTGAATATGTCAAATACTGTATCAGGAGCAAATTTTAAAATTAAGAAATTTCCTCAAGTACAGCTCTGTATGCTCTTTGAAGCCTTATTTTAACCTTCCCAGGTGATAATATATTCTGTATTTATACTTAAAGGTTCCAACTTCTGCAAAGTATTCCCATAAGCTTTCCCCCTTTTCTTTTAGTTAACATTGCTCACTAAGCTTTGGGAGGAAAAAAAAAATTGGGGGTCTGCTGTTTTTGGTGACCCAGGTCTACTAAAACTAGTCAATTATTTATTCTTTTACAAAGGAGATATACTAATTAGAAAAAATATAACCAACTTATTCCATTTCTAGGATATAAGTATTTATTCATATATATAAACTTCTATGAAATAAAGGACAGTTCTGCAAAGAAGGAAGATTTGACCACAGGGTAAGATGCTCTAACTATGATGCTCAATTAAGCGAAATGTGACACAATGCAGTTGTCAACTAATGCAGAAAAAAGCCTATTCCTTCAAAACGGTTTCAAGTTAGCTTTGCTGAGCACCAGTTTAACTAAAGGGACCAGAAATATATAACATTCAGACTTAAAACATACCAAGCCTAAATTTCAGAAATCCTTGAGGACAGAATAAACACCAATGGCTGAGAAGGCTGTCAAAATTAACATTTCCACTAAAAATTTCAGGTAATGTGACCCAAGTACTACAAACAACACCTACAGATTAGGCAGATTTCTCAATAATGGCAAACAGTGACCTTGGCCTATTTAGAATTCTATTCCCCTAGGGTCTAATGCCGTCCATAACTTTAGGGTTCCTAAGCCAAGAGAAGACATGTTAAGTATGATTTAGGGCCCAGAACTGTGAATCGACAACAAGCATTCTAGGCACTTGTGGTCAAGAGGTCCAGAGCCCATTCATACTTTCAGAAACACCCATCCAGACCCATTTTAAGATTCTAAGATGCCTTTTACTACCCTTCAGAATGAGATGTGGGCAATGTTGTGGAACTAAGTATCACAAAAATGACTTGGTGCGGTAATAGTCACCTTTTTGTCAACCTCACTGTCAGAATCACTGCCAGAAGAGCTTGAAGAAACAAGTTCCTTTGATTTAGGCATTCTGAAAGAAAAACATATTACACAAATAATTAACAAGTTGCATTATTACCACCAACTCAGATCTCTCCCAATCAAAAAATCAAGGACAAGTTCCACAGTTCATTCTACTATTTTGTGGCACTGGAGTTGTGACACTGAGCACAAGCTTTAACCTTCACTCGGAATTCTAAATCGCAAATACCATGCAGCAATAAATGTGCTGAACCCAGTAAGGAGAAAGAACTAAATGTTATACACTCCTACACCTCTAATCTTTCTCAAAGCCACTGGGTCTTTTCGTATTTCATTTTAACAGGGTTAGATGTTTATGTGTAGGGTAGACTGCAAGAAGGCAGCTGGCAACAATCACTGTTAAAACCAGAAAAAACGTGAACCATTCTACTCAACTGCTTTATTGATCACTTTTCACCAATGAGGTAAGAACTAATGTAAAATTATTCACTGTGGGGAACTGACCCTAACAGTCACACAAGCAGGGAAACTAGCTGAACTATGCAAATGTAATAACTAATTAATTTTGCCATTATAATCATTTTTTCATATTCTGGATGTTAATTTTGACTTTTTTGGCCATACCAACAAAATAACAACAGATACTAACTTCACAGAGTTATACATAGTTCACAGCTATTCGTTACACTTTACATTGATTTTCTACTCTGGAATATAATTAAAATTTGAAGTCTGTTTATGGAAGTGGGTAAAGACTTTCCTCAAGTTCATTATCATGCGGGTAGTTCCCCAGACACCCCCAAAAAGGTATATAGCCTAGTGCCTTGCTTACAAGTGGATGTTTACTGTATGCCTGAGCAAAAGGCAGTGAGCAAACTATCAGTGAAATTAAGCCCCAAGTTTCAAGAATTCCAAGGCACGTGGGAACCTCTTTTCAAGACACTTAAAATGTCAGGTGGGAAAGCACTAATTATCAAATTATCTTGTGCTCTCCATCTCAGGAGACTGGGTTCTACTGATTTCTGTATATCCTAAAAGGCCCAACAAACATAATACTTTCTGAAAATATTCGTTGGCTAAAAGAAAAAAGACGTCAATTTCTCCTGAAAAAAAAAAATCATAAATAATCTAGCTCTCTAAGCTATGCTTGCATCGCACTGGCACTGAAGGTGTTCCACAATAAGAGGTCAAGGTAACAGAAGTGGGCCATCCCAACTCCGACCATTAAATTCAAAAAGCTCCACCATGCCCAATCCAGTCACGCTGATTCTAACTGCTAATTTCTTGGAGATAAGTAAATTCAGAGAAAAACAGTAATATTCATAGCCACGATTCTCATCTCTTTTCATGTTACTGCTCCATTTTACAAACTGCAACATCAATTTAGTTCAGTTTTTTAATGCTAGCTAATACAACTGCCAGAAAAACTTTTTTTAAAAAGGTAATTAAATGGAACATACTTTATTTTTCACTTTGAAACGGTCAACCATAACTACCATCTGTTATTCAAAGCTGCCTGGGGGGTGCCTAAGATCATTTCAAAGAACCACCTCACATTCAATTCAAGTAGTAAGCCCATTCAAGAAGAAAAGGTAATGGTAACTAAAGCCCACCCTTTTCAAACTTTTAACAAAATACATTTTTACTTTTAAAGAGACTGTAGTGTGCTAAAACAGGGGGAGGGGGGCCAGATCCTGTAAGTGAGGCAAATGAAGCCGAAGCGCCATTGCAGAATACATCCAAAACGCAACTAATGGAAAAAAAGACTATTAGGCCTTTACCGAAGCCGTGGGAGAGGATTAGGAAAATAAACGAGATGAAAATAAACTAGGACTGAAGGGTGCCCTTCACGAGGAACACGAGGGTGACAAGCACCAGGACGAGAAGGGGGCCGCGCGACGCCGGGAAGCTGCCAGAACCCAGGGGCTGGCAACCGTCGGGGCGAAGGGAGACAGGTCGGTCGGAGGGGGCGTGGGAGGCGGCGAAGTGCGGAGGCGACCGTGTGGGAAGAGGCGGGACTTGCACCCAGCGCCATTTTCTTCTCCCGAAGCGTTCCCTCCCCAGCAAACCAACCCTTCT